CAAGACCCCAGGAGGGACCCCGACCGCGGAGCCCCCAGGGCCACCCACACAGGACGAACCACTCACCCACCCCCCAGAACGGACCACAGGGGAGAACCGGAAGATCCCCACCAGCGGCCACATACAGTGACCCCCCGGGGCCAACAGCGACAAACTCATAGGCCTCTGTCGGAACCCGCTGCACCGATGTAGGTCCAGGTCCGGGCACCGAGGCCCAGGCACCGAGGACTCACACCACCCAGGCCAAGGCCCGACAGGGCCAGAGGACCCGAGCCCCACCAGGCAGACACCAGGCCGAGCCGACACACGCCCAAGCGCCCAAGCGCCCAGCCCCCGATACCAAGGGCCCCAAGCGCGCCGGCAGGCAAGGGCACACCCCACCAGGGGGCCGCGCGATAGGGGCGCGATGCCAAGCACCCCCAGTTGTATCAAAGAGGGGGCAGTCCGAGTCTCAGCCTAACAAATACCCATTCATACAAAGACACAATCACACAATCCCAACCTCAGTCTCACATTCACTCACTCAAAGACATACAATAACGATACATTTCATTCTTATTCCCGATACGCACTCTATACCCCCCAGGTCCAAGACATGTACCCGCCCTCTACAGGGGGCAGCCCATGCCCAAACCCAGGAGGTAAACCCATTCATTCTCGAGCGGAGAAGAGCCAATACCCCAGACCCGGCCCAGGCCATGCCCAGCTGACAGGACACCCCCCACCATGAAGAGGACACGCCACCGACCACCACCACACACCGCCAACTTGGAAGCACGTGCTCCCAGCCGACCGCCCGCCAGGCCCCGGCAGCCACCCCGGCCAGCGGGCCAACCATGGCACCCAAGAGCCAAGCTCAGGGGGTCCAAACAACCCCAGGGAGAGCACAGCGCCAGCACCGCCCACGGCAACCCCCCAGACCCCGAACCCCCACATAGTCCTGGTTAACACCTGACGGCTTGCCCTTCTCCCGGACCCCACCCCCGGAATGGCAGTCAGGGAACTAGGGGGGGGAGGAAAAAAAACAAAAAAAAACAAGACCCCGACACATACACCCCCGCCCCTAGATGTGCTGTTGATGTGTGTTGTTGTATAGTGCCATTAAAAAGGAAAGAAGAAGGAGCAAAGGCTGGCATGATGCCAGTTTCCCCTCCACCCCAACTCTATCCAAACCCTAGTATCTAAATGCAACCGTTGTAAGTGAGCACAGGCACAGGGGGTGAGAGTAAGGTCATCCCACCACCCATAGCCATGTGCCCACCTCAAGTTCCTATATGTGAATGTCATGAGGATGTTATGAATGAATGTCTAAGGTGTACAATAAAATTGAGTCCCAGGTGGCTATGGTCAACAAATTGGGGGCGGCTATGTTAGAAAGGCAGTGAGTTGTAGCACAGAGATGTTTAGTTTGAATTATGGTGTTAAGAGACATCTAGTGATGAATATTGGTAAATGTATCTTTAGTTTTAAAACTGCGCAACTCTTTAATTAATCTGACACGGAAAAGGCCATGTTAAGCAGCAGAATCAGCTCAAGTTGTGTGCATAAATGACAAAATACCACACATACCCTCA